TTTATATTTATTTGGCTCGTGACAATCCAGACATTCTGATTCGACGTTTCCAGTTAAAAACATGTAGTATTAAAAATTGTCTCCATTAGAAATTGATTAAATTCATCATAACAGATAGTCCACATGTCTTTTAATCGACTTCAAAATTGAAAACGCTATAATCAGACTGGTATAACCAGGTTTAATCAGTCTAGATTGTTTTGGTATTCTGTTTAGGTAGATCCCATGGATTTCTATGATGTAGGACATGTTGTTTTCGACAAAATGAACAAAAAAATCATAAAACTATAAATATGTTAACCAATCTTTCAAAATTCACTACAAAATGGACTTACTCAATTTTAACTGACTTGTTTATCGTATTAGCTTGTAACATCGCAAATGTACTTAAAAAGGTTAGAACTCTTCTTACCTAAAAGTAGCAATTTGAATTCGAATTTGGGCTTATTAGATTTCTTTTTATCAATCAATGACATGTGTTTGTGAGTTTTTTTTGTGTGCACACAAAAAGATCTTTTCAGATTCATAGACAAAAAAACTAACTTAAATTTGCTTTAGTATAAATATAAAAAAATATATAGCGTTCTTAATTACTGTTTTACTTTCGCTATAATAATGCGCACAATTAAATCAAAATACTTAAACATTTAAAAATTGTCTTCTTAATTAAGAAAAAAACTTTAATTATTGTCAAAATATAATATCAACTATAGTAATGCAAGTATTCATCTAATTGTAAGCAGATTTGCATTGCATTGGCTAAAGGTGTAATGCGAGAGCGCTGTGTGTACTGTGGTGGTTATGTGATTACCTTTTATATCGTTAGTATTATAGAGAAAGTTTATTTACTGGCAAGAAATAATCATTAAAACACGCTGTTTTTTTTTAAAAAAAAAGCCCTCGATAGAATTTTACGTTAGTTAATACCATGCTCCAATGCTTGGTTTAACATTTAAAATATCCTGGGAAAAACAAGGTACCTACCGCGTAGGTAATGGAATCTTTATGAAAACCTTCGAGTTTAGAAATATGAAAACTAATGGATAAGGCAGGTACATTGGGAAATGCCAACGTGTTTGATATGAAATTATGAAACAAAGGAAATAATTCATTTTTTCCTTACTTCAGTATAACAATATTGATAAATTTCCAACTTTACTAATAATGTAGATATAAAATTCCATAATAATGATGAAATTGTATGTTTTAAAAATGTTTCGCTAGGCCCCAGGGCAAACCTCCAATGCCATCGACTTTGTTCACGAATGTCACAAAAAAATCGAGGTTGCTGCAGGTAGCAGTTCTCTTCACCTCTAAAATCGATATCGCAACCTTGTAGGTATATATGTATTAGCTATATATTTTTGCGATTTCAATTTTATAAATGTGAATAGGGAAATAAACTCGTGCCTACTATTAATAGGCTTAGGTAATCTTGTTAGTGCGTGTCTAATATAGCTTTCAGTATGAATATACATCGAATGAACCTTCGTAAGGGATCAGTATTCAGTTTAATTTATTTCTAGAAATGAGCATGTTTTGTATAGATAATATAAATGAAACCTTCGTCGGATTTAGAGCATTTTTTTTTAAAGATTTTTGCCTATCAACTTGCGTAAAATTTGATAAAAAGAATTATTTTTTAATAAATGGAGAACCATTAAGAAAATAGTTTACACAGGACAAAGTACAAAGAAGTCTGAAAAACCCATAATTTTTTACTTCTAAAGTTCCAAACGACTGTGAGCTTGAAGAAGGGAGGGAGAATATATGTACTAAAATAATCTCGATAGTGAAAAGTTACAATGATTAATAAACTGAATATATACTGTACTTTTTATTTGAAATTTAGGTCACACACATCATGCGAGTGAGCCCTCTCCGCGTGATTATGCCGCGCGAGTAAGCTACGGAATGAGATTTTAACATAATGTAAAATTTATGCACAGAATTCAACAAAAAGATTTTAATGTTGAAAATCGCCATCAGAAACCTATTACTTCTTACCAAAAATATTATTTGAATGTCTTCCGCAATTTCCAAAAAAAAAATCCTCAAAGATTTCCACGAGTGCTGGTCTCTTGTTATCTGTATCCAGTGGGTTCTACTGACTTAGTCATCGGTCCACCTTGTGAGAGCTTAGCTCGCTTAGCCTTCCGGTACGTGATAACCTACTGGAGAACTCTTCATCCCCAATGACCATCTGATCTGCGAGCTATGTGTCCTGTATATTACCACTGAAGATTCGGTAGGCAATGTCAGTGACTTTGTTCCTTCGGCGTATCTCCTAATTTCTGATTCGGTGTCGCAGAGAAACTCCGAGCATAGCCCTCTCCATCACTTTGGGTGACCTTGATCCGATCGTGAGCGACCACGTCTCTGCACCGTGTGTCATTGGAAAACATGCTTGTCGAAGAATTTTTTCTTGAGACACCGCAATATTTAATGACATTTGACATAATTTTCGTCTTGTCCATGTTTATTTTCAGACCAACTTGCTGCTGAGGTCCTCCATGGTCCTAGCCATATGACCACTAAATAGTCAACAAATCGAAGGTGGGTGATGATATTGATGTCCAGTCCGTTGTCCGTTGGTATTAATGCTCTTCAATAAAATTAAATAAATACATGTTTTAGCATTTTTCGCAATTCATCCTATAAGGGGGTTAAATAGGGGATGAAAGTTTGTATGAAATTACCTTTTTAGAGATTTTTTGCAGTTTTAGCTCCAGCGAAGCCGTGGGTTTTGCTAGTTAATGTTATAAATTCGGAAATATATTTTGTTAAATTTTTACTAAACAATGACTTGAAGTAATAATTGTATAGAGAATATATTTTAATAACAGAAGGGCCATAGAGTACTTTCATGGCAGTTTGTTACTCTAAGTGCGTATGTAAGGCTTTTGCCAGCATATAAACCATACAAATATTATTGGAAACAAGTTGCTGCGAGTCCTTCTACGTGTATGTGTGTCTCCGACTACTTAATACTATTTCGCATTGTTAACTTGTTCTCTATTATTTAGATCGCTTACTGCATAAAAACGCAGATGTTTTTTTATTTTTATAATGTTTTTTTTTTACTTACAGGTTTTTAGTTTTGGCTAGTTACACATTTGGTTGCATTTTACAATTTGCTGTCTTATATTATTATTTAAACATATAAATTGTTTAATATGTTTATATGGTCGCCTTTTAAAAACCTTTGTTTTGATAACACACTCGAAGGGCTTTAAATATAAGACACAAATTGGCGTCTGAAATCCGCTATTTTTAATCATCTTTATATAATATAGCCTATAACAACGCGACGAATCTAGATGAATAACGAATCTAATGACATATAAATCATTAAAATTTGTTAAGCCGTTTAGTAATTACGAAGGAAACTAGAATCGGACATATATATATATATATATATATATATATATATATATATATGTAGGGGTAGGGAAGGCAGTGGTAGCCCAGTGGTGACGCGCTCGCATGGGTAACCGAGTGAAGCGGGTACGAATCCCGGGTCTCGCACCTCTGATATTTTCATGTGCGAATCATTTTCAACATGATTACCACATGCCTTACGCTGAAGGAAAACATCGTGAGGAAACCTGCATGTGTAAGAGAACCTAGCAAGTTTTCGAATGAGATGTGAAGTCTGCCAACCCGCACTTGGCCAGCATGGTGGACTATGGCCTGATCCCCCTCAAAAAGTACACACATGAGACTTTTAAACTTAATTATTTAATTAACTCTAATAATTTAAACCTCGATGACCTTTGCAAATGCGAAATGATAATATTGAAGTTGAGCGCCTTTATTGACCCGAATGTCAAGAGTACTGCCATGAACATTGAAATAATGAACGAATGTGACATAATTAAAGTCAGTCGGGTCAGTTTTTTTTTAGCACACGGTATCATCGTAACGTGTCGTAATAATATTATACCGAAATACATATATTTGGATTAAATGATTAATTGCGCAATGCTATAGTGTTAATTAATTAGCGTAAATCTAAACAACAACCATAAACAAATACTAATCAGTGCTGATTGCAAGCGTTTGTGCATACCTACCTAGTACACGCCATTAGATGTCAAACAATGATCAATCTTTGCCTGAATTACACTCGGCCAAGCCTATTGTTTGGATTTTGGAAGAGAAAGATCAATTTGTAACTTACAGAACAAAGCTAACTACAAAGCCAATTCCGAAAATAGGAATTCAGAACGTAAAACGAGCGATAATGTATTTATTGGCAGCGAAGCCTACAGATGATGGCATCGAATGTTTTTGTTGTTATATTGGGAATAACTTGATATCCTCCAAAGCCCTGGCGTCTACTTTCCAACGTCTAATCAATTTAACTACGACCATGTGTGATATGATCTATTCATACTTTGAATCACTTGATTTCTTTATTAATTTAAATATGTCACTCGAGTTGTGAATATGTATACTTATATACGTACTTGACTATAATGTTATATATTCCAATAAGAATTTTATTAATCAAACATTACGTTGTTTATTTAAATAAAAGTTGGAAATATTTATAGTTTTTACTATACTTTATTTTCAAATTTCGCCATTACTAATGCCAATTTAAAAAAAAAAAAACAATTAATTATATTAATGAAATTGGAGGAATAACACCCACAATCACATATTTGTAATCGTTTGATCCCCCTATCGTTGATGGATACAGCCCTCTCATCCCACGCCACGTGCAACGTAATCCAATGACGCCCGTAGACAAGCCGTATATTTGTACATTATTTTTAGAACCAATTTACTGCCCTAGGCTATGTGCTCCCACACCATAAAGTCCTGATCTATAATGTTTAATTTATCTTTAAAGGGCGTACTATTTACACTGATTTACAGTTTAACATAAGTTATTTATAAACGAATGAAACAATTTTATATTCATAAACAACTTTTATGTTTTCATTTAACGACTATGATAAGACGATAAATCTACTTGTTATTTTACTTACTTTCATCTGATTGCGGTGCTGATAAGATGGCACTGTGCTTCTTCTTCACTTCTTCAACATTCGCTTGTATCTTATCTATCATTTCTCGTATCTCTTCCACCTAAAACAAAGTTTATATTATTTTCAATATTAAGCAATTTTATATCAATAAACTTCCTACATTATTTAAGTAATTTGTATGTTTATGACTTGATTAATCTCATGTAATCTCATGTAGCGGGCTACTTCCTCCGCATTAAACGATGTAAAAACTCTTTATTCTAAAATGCATTACATTTATGTTAACTAGTTGTTCTAAAATAATCTGTGAAAGTTTAATTAAATCGGTTTCCTGATTTGATATGTATATAAAAATTATTTTGCTACTGTACAAATAAAGCCAACATAATAAAGGGAAACTTTTAGAATTAAATTATATTTTAACGTTATGTATTTTTTGACAAATATTTAATTATCATTGTAAGTATCTTATACATTTTATTAATATTGCACCCCCACAAATTCATATGAAACGGTAAAATTATATTAGTAGAATTGCCTTGTGGATATTCTATTATTCCCTCCACGACCGCGGACACGCCAGCGTGTCAGTTAACAATAGATTTCTTAGAATTTTAATTAATTTCTTAGAAATTTACCTGGAGGTGTTAGTATATTTACGTAAAGCTATTTATTATTTTACAATAAATGTTATAATCATAATGCCATGATAATTCCAGAGCTAGTGTAGACTACAAATATTGTATACAGTTCTGGCGTCAATGTACTTGCAAACTGTAGAATTGCGGAAAACTGGCAAATAGGCAGTTTACCTCTCCAACGATCTAAGTTATCCTATACCGTAAATACAACTAAATAATATTACTATAATCTCTTATTAATGTTAGATAAAAAATATATGAACTTGTTGCTAAATAGCAGCTTCAATATTTAAAATATATTTTGTTCTAATAAAACAATATCTATACATATAATAAAATTGTAACTAAGTCAAATCTGTACATTAAATATTTTTTGGAAAATCTAATTGAAATAGACATTATTATCGATACAGAGTCCGAATCTATAGTTTTTAGAATATTTGTCTGTCCGTCTGTCTGTTACCGCATCACGAGAAAACCACTGGACAGATTTTGATAAAATTTGGTATGATGATAGCTGGTTATCCAGGTCAACAAATAGGATACTTTTTACCGCGGGAAAATATCTCATTTCTGAGAAAAAATACAAAAACTGCATTGCGAGAGTATACTAATATGTAAAACCTAACAATTTGGTTTTTAGTCATCTGAACGCGGGCGGAGCCGCGGGCAATGCTAGTCTTAATATACAAAAATTGTTTGAGTTGATGAAAAATAAACTCAGCTCAGACGATTACAACGTAGATCAAATAGGTAAATTACAAAATCCGTTTACCGATTGTGCATGCTCTCGTAAAGGTATACGTGACTTGAATTATTCGTTTCCAAACAGGAAGGAAATTAGTTGAATTGTGGTTGAAAGCAACAACCGATAGGAGACCTGCTTGGATTATCTAGACATTAATTTGGTTAAAGGAACCGTTGGCAACTTTCCAACCACAAAGCGAACGGGAACCACCATAACTTGCGAAGGTATTATGCATCCCGCCTAACTTTAAACCTCTAATAATTTTGAATTTTCTTACTTTTGTAATTTTAAAAAAGGCGTGCGTGCGATTGTTAGAAAATAGGTATACCTTTCTGATCATTACGGTCGGTCAGTTTATCAAAAACAAATAATTTTATATTAACATTTTAATCAATTTTAGCAATAAAGATAGCACAACATACTGTAAGTTTGGACGTCTATTTATATTAGGATCAACTGTTGTGAAATATGACGTAAGTACTTTAGTATTTTATCTAGCCTACCTACTTACCTTACTTATTATAATATTAGTGTAAAAGTGTACATTATGACAGTTAAAATATAAAAACTTTAATGGTAAAATGAAACAATATTTTTTAGACTAACTTCCGCTTGCGGTTTACGGATGTATTTCTATTTCCGTTACTTCCGCTTAACGTCAGACCATAGACTCGTACTATGGAAAGCTCAAGCTAGCTAGCTTTTGATCTACTAACTTAATTAAAATGAAACTTGTTCTTTTAATTAACCAAACCGTTCAAATGTATAATATTTAAAATTAATACAGTAATTTACCTTTTTAAAATAGATTTTTATAAAAACATAAATTGTGTATAGAGAAAATCATAAAATTATAAAAGGTGTAACAGACGATGTAACCCTATGTAATTATGTATATTTAGCGGTTCGAAAGTAATTAGAATATCAAAAAAGAAATATTGGAAACCATATTTTCAACTAAACTTCGAGAATATAGCCGAAATGTCCTGTATATATATACAAAATACTTTAATAGTGGAGCTTTCTTACTAATTACACTATGCTTTTAGTTGTGCTAAATTTATTTTTATTTTCACTTTTATGGGGGAAAATTACTGATTCTACTATTAGTAACTAGTTCGTTGTGCACATTTTTAGTACAGTACCTGTGTTAGTATAAACATTTAAATTATCTCATTTAAAAATAAATACCAAAGGAGAAAATAACAAAACCGCACATGTTCAAAGTTTGCGTATGTCGAAGAGATTTCAGAGAACATCAAAAGCTACAGGGCTGATCCCAAATACAAAAAATGCTTGTAAAACTTTTAAAATTTGTTCTTTTATGATGTGTTGGTTATAATCGTGTTCACATAACAGTGAGTGTGGAACAAAAGATATAGCATGAAGTTCAGAGGGCTAGAGGATCCAAGATCGATATGAGGAGTCAGGCTGATGGGCCGCTGGTAATTCATGAGTCACAAATTAATCTGATTATAGAGATAGCTTATCGTCCGCCTGCGCCACTTGATAACACGTCGAACGTTTACACTGATAACATTTTGCAGTTTTACTCATGGTAAATTCTTGTAGGTTTATATTTAGGTAGTATTAATTTAATTTACATTTATGATCAGAGGAAAGGACAAATGGAGCAAAATAGTTACACAATGGTACCCAAGAGAAGGTAAAAGGAAAAGAGGTAGACAGCAAAAAAGGTGGGACGATGATATCAGGGAGGTTGCAGGCATAACATGGAGTAGAGTAGCCAGAGAGAGATCAGAGTGGAGTAGGTTGGAGGAGGCCTTTGCCAACTGGCAAATGGACTTACAAAAAGCAAAGAGACACCAAATACGCGAATAATTTTAATTATGTAAAAAAAAATAAAAAAAAAATGTAACAGTGCAATAGTGTAAGAAACATAATTGTATGTCGTATATATATTGTCCGAATAAAAGGCTTTATTATTATTAAATTTACTTTAAGATGTCTAATATAATAAAAATTTCAAATGATTTTATATAAAAATGTATATCTGTTATAGAATTTAGAAGAAAAATAGTGCTGAAGAAATCGGTAAGAAGTTAATATTTTTTAGTATAGAATAACTATGTATTGGTGTAAACTATACTAACAATTCTTTTCTTGTCCTAGAAAGATTAGAGGTATCTCAGTTATATAAAACTATATAAAGGTAACAATATGTAAAAAAATTAAATGAATAAGATCACTACCAATTTAACGTACGTACTTAATCTATACATATAATAAAATTCTAACTAAGCCGAATCTGTACATTAAATATTTTTTGGAAAATCTTATTGCAATAGACATTATTATCGATACAGAAGCCGAATCTTTAGTTTTATGAATTTTTTGTCTGTCTGTCTGTTTGTCTATCTGTCTGTCTGTTACCGCATCACGGAAAAACCACTGCAGGGATTTTGATGAAATTTGGTATGAAGGTAGCTGGTTATCCGGGTCAACATATAGGATACTTTTTACCGCGGGAAAATATCTCATTTCTGAGAAAAAAATACAAAAAATGCAATGTAAGAGTATACTAATATGTAAAACTTAAGAATTTGGTTTTTGGTCGTCTGAACGCGGGCGGAGCCGCGGGCAATGCTAGTATGTAACATAAAACATCCCAATAGCCGAGTGCTTTATATAAATTATTTCACAGAAACTGTGATACACTTTCAGCGAAAGTGATAAAAAAACTTTATAAAATACCAGTGACCAAAGATAAAACTTATTGAGGTTCCTCAAACGTTTCATTAAACGCAATTAAAAACGAGACATTCTACGTTGGCTTTGCTTTCTCCGTGCTCTTGTACTGCCCTAGAAAGGCTTATAAGGCCCACTAATAATAGTCTAAGAGGCATAGTAAATATTTTTAACGTCCAATAATGTCTACACGTCATAGCAAGGTTACGTAGCCAAGGCGTCTGGACGGCGTCGTTCTACATTCATCGGCGTCCCATTGTCGTGTCGTTGGTCGTCGTCGTGTCGAGTCGCTTTAAAAGTTAATATGGCCTTAGTGTGTTATGGTTGCAATGAATATTACATACACATAATATGCAAATGAGTGTACCTACTTAGAGGTTTGTTCCTTACAATGGAGGAAGCCAGGCATAATTTTTTTTTAAACATCTATTTACTTAGGTAATATTATATTTAGATTTTTACTAGACGGTTCTGGTTTAAAGTAACTTATTACAACTTTAGAGTTATAGTTGGCAAACGAAGTCAGTTAACAAAAATATGTGTTATATTGTTACCTAGTGGCATATAGATTTTTTTCTCCTATTTTTCCATATTCATTTATGGCCCACCCTAAATCAGTGTGATTTATTAAAATAAACTTAATGGCGTGTCGCAAGAAAATTTGTACCAGATATGTACGTGTTAGATTTTACTATGTTTTTTTAATTAAAAATATTCGACAAAAAGGAAAAAAAACACATATATATATATATATATGTACCTATGTACGTATCATTATTTACTATGAAAATAACATATGCAAAATGCATATTAGAAATCAAATACCAAATACCTATCGTAACAATAAAAATCTTTTCATCCACAATCACGTAAAATCCTCGATGTAATGAATTTCGGCGAGCGTTATTATTAAACGTACTAATTATAGCTGTAATCATGCTTGTATATGTGGGACCAGGGGCGTTTGCTGACAATTATATTATAAAAATGAGTCACTCACAA